ATATATATATATATATATAAAATTCTATTACATAAATGTAAGGAAAGTTATATAAATGTTCAACTGCAATATTCAACTCGAAGGGAAAAAGAATAAAAATAGAAAGTATGAAGATTGTTGCTACTTTTATTCTTCTTCTCTTCGAAATGAATATTAGACAAATGATCTCTTGTATTATATCTCATATATCTCTGATATTGTACTCTAAATTAATTTCTTTGTGTTAATGGCATAATCTTTTTTTATTTTCACCATTTCTAAACGGTGCTTATGGAATAAAGCCGCATTATCATACAAGCTTTTAAAATCTTTTGATATTCTTAAATTTATGATAAATTTATGTTCACATAATGTGGCAACGTTCTTCACCTTGGGGATCGCTCTGAAACATAAAATACGTGTATCTTATTAACAAAAAGAAATGAAAGAAACATAAAATAATTGAGTAAACACCGCGAATCCCAATTTGCTTAATCCACTGCGTGAATATCGACATGTCCGTTTAGTCACAGATATAAGCAAAGAATCTTATTGTTATATTTTATACGATGAAAAAGATATGCATATGCAGACGATATATGTGATATATCTCTCAGAAACATTATTTTTTCTTTACATCTTTTACATCTTTTACATACAATGATTTATATTATTGTATTAATATATGTGCAGTAATGTAGAATACATAAATATACTAAATCAGATTTATGTTATTTGTAAATGTTTTTACTATTCGCATTCTAAGTAAAGCATATATAACTTCACAAATGACTTTTTTTTAGCACTAACCCGATTTTATATATATAATATTATATATAATATTAATGACACCATGAAACTCGGAAGCAATTGACATTGATTATTAATATAACGTCAATAAAAAATGAAAATTTCGATTATCCACCGAAATACAATATAAAAATGGCAAATTTTGTAAATTTATCTATTGAGCGCAATATTCGCAAATGCAACTTTGCACCATAAAAGCTGCATTTGCTCATAAATTCGCCTAAATTCACTCTAAGAATTTTGCATTTGTATATATAATATATGTTCAGGATATTCAAACATTAATAACATATAAAATATAATCAAAATTCCTTTAAATTATTATTTATATTAGATTGAATCCCGTGTAAGAAAGAAAGCTTTAAGTATTATGTACGTAGATAATATTTGATAAAAAATATATATTTGACAATAATATCTTAATTAAAGACAATGTGGTTAATTAATGGGATGGTCATTTTATATATAACGAAGATTATATATACATATATATTAATTCTCATAAGGCATGAAATTTTAGTTAAGCGGTGAGCATCCAGGCAAAATGTTGCATGAAAACCAACAAAATATGAAGCAAAATAATTCCTATATATTATGAGTGCGGAAAGTATCGATAATGTAATGTTCGAACATCTGATAGGTT